AAAAAAAAAAAAAATAAATGTTTGAGATGATGGATGTCCTAATTTCACTGATCTGATCACTATACATTATATATGTTGAAACATCACTATATACTCATGAATATGTATACTTATTTTTTGTCAATAAAAAAAAATAAAGTTAGGTCAGGCATAGTGGTTTATGTCTATAATTCCAGTGCTTTGGGAGGCCAAGGCAAGAGTATTGCAGGAGGCCAGGCCTTCAAGATAGCCTAGACAACAAAGCAAGATCCCATCTCTAGAAAAAGAAAACTGAAGAAAAAGAATAAAAATAGGTTGGGCATCTGAGGCTCAAGCATCTAAGGCGCCAGCCACATACACCTGAGCTGGCGGGTTCAAATCCAGCCCAGGCCCACCAAACAACAATTACGGCTGCAACCAAAAAATACCTGGGCGTTGTGGTGGGCATCTGTAGTCCCAGCTACTTGGGAGGCAGAGGCAGGAGAATCGCTTGAGCCCAGGAGTTGGGGGTTGCTGTGAGCTGTGATGGCACAGCACTCTACCCAGGGCAACAGTTTGAGGCTCTGTCTCAAAAAAAAAAAAAAAAAAAGAAAAAGAAAAAGAAAAGAACAAAAATAAAATAAGAGTTTGAGGTTGCTGTGAGCTATGATGCTATGCCACTCTACCAAGGGCAACAAAGTAAAGCTCTGTCTCAAAAAAAATAGTTGTTTTTTTTTTGAGACAGAGCCTCAAGCTGTCACCCTGGGTAGATGGCATCACAGCTCACAGCAACTTCCAACTCCTGGGCCTAACTGATTCTCTTGCCTCAGCCTCCCAAGTAGCTGGGACTACAGATGCCCACCACAATGCCCAGCTATTTTGTTTTGGTTGTAGTTGTCATTGCTGTTTGGCAGGCCTGGGCTAGATTTGAACCTGCCAGCTCTGGTGTAGGTGGCTGGCACCCTAGCCACTTGAGCTACAGGCACTGAGCCTCAAAAAAATAGTTTTATGGGGTGGCACCTGTGGCTCAGGCGGCTAAGGCACCAGCCACATACACCTGAGCTGGCAGGTTTGAATCCAGCTGGGCCTGCCAAACAACAATGATGGCTGCAACCAAAAAATAGCCGGATGTTGTGGCAGGT